CGCCGCGTTTACGCGTACAGCGAGTCTTTGTGCGTAAGATAATCGTTATTGTTTACGCCTACTTTACGAGTCTGTCTCGATATCGAGATTTTTTACTTTGTCCATAAATTAACACCCTCGATTATTTATTCGTGTGTATCAGCATGAATCACTTACCGATTCTTCCGTTTAATAAATATTATCGAAATGATACGTTGCGGGTATATTGGCTAAGCGTTCGCGAAACTAGCCGTGGACCTCGCTTGTTTCGTTGAAAGTAGCCTGTAATTTGCGCTAAACGTATCGATCATTCTTGTCGGCACCCTGTTTCATTAACCAATTTTAGAGAAAGAAACCTGCACCGCTCGTTCATCGAGGAAAAGTGTGCCACCGCGTGTGGAACGGGAGCGACGAAAAATCGGGAAAGTTCGATTTATTAAACAGCCTGATGTATTAGAGCGTACACGTCAAAATCAGTTTCGTTCTAGGACCAATTTGCAGTTACCTATCGCGCGATGTATAATTATTTTACAACAGTCAAAAATATTTAAAAGGCTATTACTCAATCGTACCCGGTGAAAACCAGTTATTGCACCACCGTATCGCGAAGAAACATATGTAAAATTCAAAACGGGACAATAAATTTCACAGATACAAGGAAAATATTTATTCGTTAAACAGCATGAAGACGTCGAAAAGAAATTCTTTTTAATAACACCATTTCAGTATTTTTAAGATTTTTGCAAAGATAAAATGGTCAACTTTTATTTTGTTCCAATTATATTTTTTTTTGAAGAAATACATGCGTTCTTTTATGAAAAAAGGATTTTGTTTGAAACTGTTTATATTAAAACGAGACAATAAATTTCACAGATACAAGGAAAATATTTATTCGTGAAACAGCATGAAGACGTCGAAAAGAAATTCTTTTTAATAACACCATTTCAGGATTTTTAAGATTTTTGCAAAGATAAAATGGTCAATTTTTATTTTGTTCCAATTATATTATTTTTTGAAGAAATACATGCGTTCTAGTGGTACTTTCATGAAAGAAAGGAGTTTCTTTGAAACTGTTTATGGGGGATTATTTTAGAATTTTTATAATTGTAACAAAAGTTCCATGGGATCAGTGATTTTAGATTCATTAAATAAATAGAATTTTTTGTCTATTATAAACTGTAGCTAATAGTTTTATAAACAGTATTAGACAAAATAGCGAACTTATTTACTCTTTCAAAACATTGTATTATACACTCATAACTCAGAAAGTGTATAATATAATGTTTACAATTAGTCATGAAAATAGTCGAACTATATTGCAATAAAGTAATTAATGCAAAGACTGTTTACTTCTTTGAATTTATAAAAATCGATAAAAATGTATAAAAACTTATTACCATTTATAAAGCTACAAGTTTTACTATATTTTCAAGTTATAAAGATCGAATAATTCTTGCCAAATATATGAAACATAGCTCGAAAGTACCATTTCGATTTTTATTATTATTTATAATCTGGTAGAATAGATACTGTTGACGATACGTACGAAATATTGGCTGTAATTACTTCATAGTTTTAAAGATATAACTAATTAAAGTTAGATAGGATAGCGATGTTCTATGAATATAGATGTCTGGTTGTGGAAGTCGAGACAGCAAAGTGACATGTTGCGTGGCTTGTAAATCAGAAGTTCAGCGATCGAATCCCGGTTAAATATCGCTGAACTTCCGATTCACGAGTCACGCAACATGTCACTTTGCCGTCGTGGCTTCTACGACCGCATCTATATTCATAAAACATTGCTAGGTATCTGGCTATAATTAATTATACGTGTTTAAAACTATCCAATAACTATTAACGTTCCACATTTATTATTATAAATATGCACTCTTTCATTTCACCAAATATGAATTGTATAAAAACAGTTACTTTAAAAGTTTGAAGAAATTTAAAAGAAATTTGTTGAAAGAATATAAATTTCTAAATTTTTTGGTAACAGAATAATGATTGTTTAAGACAGAAAATTTTTTCGGTTTCTCATAATATATTTTCGATTGCATTCAACCAATACGTTTCAGTTTATGTTCTATCATTGGCAATAATAAAATTTGTGGTTCAAATCACTGATAAAAAATATCAACGACGTTAGTATAATTGTTACGAGTAACCAAAACAAGTTTCCTTCGTCCTTAATAGTTATTTGTAAAATTTGCTTTATTTTGGCCCTGATAGGGTCCTTGATAATTATAATTTTTAAATGAATTCTGTTCAATCTATCCTCACATACCAATCACGCTCTAATCTAAGAATTCTATCTAAATTTTTCTATACCTTCACAACCATTAAACCTCATGTTCCTTTTCCCACGTGTCTACCAAATCTGGAAACATTCGAATTCTATTTCAAATAACATGTTACTTTATTTCACCATCGTTACATACTTGAAACACATTTATCTTGTTTCGCGAAATAACTTTGAGAACAGTAATTTTATATTTGAAATAGCGAAGTATTAAAATGCAGTTAGAAATAACCGACGTATCTCAAGAATTTGCTGTTATGAAATCTTTCAATAGGTGAAAGTACACATTTTTTTGCATCGTTAAAATGATAAAATAGCGGTCGAATAAAACGAGACACTAGTACCTATATCAAATATATTTCATCGACGTTTTTGATCAACTATACGTATTTATAATTTCAAATCGTCAATGAATTATACAGGGTGTTCAGCCACCCCTGGGGAAAAATTTAATGGAGCATTCTAGAGGCCAAAATAAGACGGAAATCAAGAATACCAATTTGTTGATGGAGGCTCCGTTAAAAAGTTATTAATGTTTAAAGATCCGCCCGAACTGAATTTTTTTCTCGAAAATGCGCAGGTTTTCGGGAGTATGTCTGTTCACCAAAAATGATTGTAATCGACCTCTGCAACTAAAAATAATTTTTCCAGAACGATTTGAAATTTTTTTTTCGCCCCAAAATTTAGGCACCTTTCTGAATTTTTTCTTTGATAATGCGTAGGTTTACGGGGTATATTTGTTCACCAAAAATGATTGTAATCGACCTCTGCAACTAAAAATAATTTTTCCAGAACGATTTGAAATTTTTTTTTTCGCCCAAAAATTTAGGCCGATCTGTCGATTTTTCTTAAAAATTCGTTTTCCATTTTTAATAAATTTGGTTGGCGCTGTACAGAAAAATTGTTTAATACTTTTTTATAGGTATCCATGAGCTCTACTTCGGAAAAAAATTTCAATCAAATTCATTCGCTATTGTAGGAGTTATGGTCGTTTGAATATTGGGCCATTTTTATGGGGTTTTTGTCATTTTATGGGGTGAAGAAACAACTTTTCGAATATTTTTACAGTTTCTACATATTCTTCATCAAAATACGCATTGTTTGCCGCTTGAAAAATTAAAATCCCCCAACCCGTTCAGAAGTTATTACATTTTAAAGGTTCCCATGAAATTTCGGGGGTGCATTCATTAGATTTTCGGTCAGGAATTTTTTTCTCGAAAATGCGTAGGATTTCGGGGGCATGTGTAATGATAAAAAATAATTGTAATCGACCTTTACAACCGAAAATAATTTTTTCAGAATGATTTGAAATTTTTTAGTAACTTTTTAACGAAGCCTCAATCGACAAATTAGTATCCTTGATTTTCGTCTTATTTTGACCTCTAGAATCCATTAATTCGTTACGTAAATAATAACATTTTGTTTAGAATACAACAATTTAAGAATTTACATATTTTCACCTTTTCCTACATTTCTGAGAAACTTTTTATTACAAATTCAATGTGTTCATAAAAATTAGGTTATAAAACAGCTCCATAGCTGTACAAGTTTCTTAACGCGGCGAACAAAGTCGTTAAACAAAATGAAAGAATTATAGAATTATACCTTCCTTCGACTAATTTTAAGAGCGAACGAGTAAAGCGCAGACACGTGAAACGTATGTTTCCTTAGCCCCGGGTGAAAAGAGTTTTTTAATGTATCTTAGCATGCTCTGTTTCGATGGACGTTTTAAGAGCAACGGAAGGCAAAGGTGACTGAAATCGCACGATATTTTCTGGGACACCCTAATAATTATACAGACCGTTGTCTCGCGGCAGTGTTCCGGGGCTCCATTTTATCTGGCCTCGCGACGCCGTTACCACCGTTCGTGTAAATAATTTCCTTATCTCCGCTATCCTTCTATCCGGGTCTAGTACGATCGTTGATCACAATTTAGATATCACCCGGGAAATTCCTCCGCGTCTTTGGAATCCCGTACAAGGTAACACGAGGAACAGTAAATAATACCGCGAACACCGGTGGAAAAAATTAGATAGGAAAGTCTCTTGGCGCGAGATAGAGGACTAAAGCGTCGCGTGGGTAATCGTAGAAATCCGCGATCACGAAAAAAAGAAAAACGAAAAAGTTTTGGTATCTTTTCGCGCTTACGGTCGTATATTTCACGCGGCGCCTTGTAAATTCAACTTTCGCGGATTCTTCACCTTTAAATAGGATAAGTAAGAGGCCATAAATTGTATTGTTTGCAGTGTCTTATCCTGCTTTGCAAAGAAGAGACAGAGTTCTTCTACCTATTAGAACGAACACGATTCGTACAGCTGTTTGCTTCGAGCGTGGAATTTTGGAAGGGCTTAACCGCGTACGAAAACTGACTCATTTAGCGTGTTATTTTTAATTTGAAATTACAGTCGTATAAATCTTGCGTGTTTGTGATCTGGTAAGGATGATTTAACGTGTAATTGTATGTTAGGAATGTTGTAGTTTCTATTGTGATTGCAGATTCAAACAAAATTCTTTGCCGTCGTTTCATAGATTTTTACACGATATTTGAGTGATTTGAAATATCTTGTTTTTCTACGAAAAGGAAGCCATTTTTAATATGAACGCGAAGAAAGCTTGTAAACGTTGCAACGACAGGAAACGATGGAGAAGGAAATTTCCGGGTATCATTTAATTTTCAGGTTCGAATCCCGAATTTTATCGGTCCTAATTTTGTTTAAAGATACACTTCGGGAAGAGACGCACGAAGAAGAAGAAAGTGTGAGTGAAATGTGGGATCGTGGCTTTGATGACAGTCGAAGAAACTAAAATAGAACCGAAAACCATGATGCAATGCAAAACGACTGTCTGAGATCGTGCTCGAGAGAATGATGAAGAATTTTTCGCGAACTCGCCGAGAAGCTCGCCGAGAAGAAGAGAATTAACGAAGTTATCGAAGATGACGCTTGGGTTCTAAAGCGGCGCACGAACGTTCTCCAAGATGGATCGAGCTGTCCTGTTCGTTCTATTGATATCTTTAACGGTAAGATTTCAATAATATCAATATTATCATTACGACAATGTACCCCAAAGTGGAATAAAATTTAAAGAAATACAATATATGGATATTTTGGAAATTGGAAACTTATGTTCCATTGATCACTTTTGTACCATAAAAATGTTTGAAGCTTCGAGATACGATCCAATAAAATTTTAAAATAACAAATTTCAGATTTCTAGTTTCAAACTATAGAAAACTAATTAAAGTTTAAAAATTTATTTTTGAAAACAAATATATACACGTCAGTTTGACGGATGTGGTAGAATTAGGTACGCATTCAATGGCTGATTGCGTTATAGACGAACCGTTTACTAACGATTTAGTGTTCTGTTAAGACACTAGTGGGCCGGTTTTGATTTGGTTCTAACTTCAATGCCAAACTCGTAGATCAAATTAATGTGCAGTCGTTCGAACGTACGCTGTATGCGAACGAAGAAAAAATGAGTAACTGTAAAGCGGCCTCTTTGAAGCTGAATTCAAAGGACACGCTTCTTTAACACGAGCAATACGTCATCGATTTTCTAAAGATCTTTCGTAAGCGCGTGTTTTGTAACTGAAGAACAACCACTCGCCTGGAACGTTTCGATTTGAAGAAATAATCTTCTGCGTTAGACGTCGAATCTGCGATAACGCTTAATAAATAATTCTCAATAATTTGTTTATTTACAAACGTCCGATGCTGATGGATTCCAGAAAAGAAGAAACGGGTGACTTTAGAAGAAATCAATCTTCTAGTGCTTTACCGTGTAATCTGTAATGCTTATCCTGTTTTAAAATTAGCCTTCTAGAGATATACTCTAATTTGGCGCCTTATCTGGACACATTTGTCGTTCACGAGCAATTTTTTAATAATTTCTCAAGCTTCTATGAATTCAATTTTATCCTCGCAAAGTTTTCTGGATATCTTTGTGATTTTAAGAAAATTCAACAATAAATAATCGACAATAAATCGTATAATTAATTTTGAATTCCTCTCTTACGTCAATTATTTTAAAATAATTTATAACTCATCATTAATATTTAAATTCTTCTTCGACTCTTAACACGATAAGAGATCACTTCACGAATAAATATAAATTCCTTTTACAAAATTAAAGAAAAAATACCTTGTATTAGTTTTTCTTAAGTCAATATACTATTATTTTTATATTTAATTACTAGGTCAATTTAACCCTCAGTATCTATAGAATCAATACTTTTTTAGACAATCTTGCTTTTTAATATCTATAAATCGAATTAATTTTCTACAAAAATCAAAATGTATACATGTAAACAAGATTATTTCACATCCTGATCCAATTTTCCATAACGTTGGAAATTCGAGCGATTTCGATGGCACCCAAACTGTCTAACGCCCAAGGAAGAAATTACGAAGGGTGCTATCGTTCGTGTCGCATACGAATATTATAATTTATACGCTCCACAAAAATGGTTGTCCCGCGTCGTCATCCAAAGTGATTCGTTGAAAGACAAATTACAGGATATCTGGCGCCTCGTGGTTCAAGCCAGTTCAGGCGTTCGTTCTCAGCACATGCTGAAAAGCACGGACGTTGGAGAGCCATCTTTTTTCTTTTTTTTTCTTCCCCTTTCGCTTCTTCTTCTTTTTCGATCTTTCGTGGTTGTTTTCTTTTTTCGTCGCGCGAGAAAACCGAGAGAGCCGTGGAGAAGCGTCTCGCTCTTGGCAGCTTACCACCACGGGCCAATAAAAAGTATTACACGGCCGTGTCTCCTTCGTGTCACGATGATAAGAAACTCTTTTTGGGAGCATCTCTTTATCCGTGCGTGTCACTAAAATTCGTCGAAAGCGTGTCGGTGTATTTTTTCCTGACACCGTCGAGTAGGAGTTCCTCTCGAGTTTCTTCTTTCAAGTTTCGAGTACTGGTACTGCACCATTTACGCTTAGAGCCCGATACTTGAACCCTGTCCTGCTTGTAAATGTATGCAACGAAAAGTACAACCTCGATCCTTCTTGTCCGCCTCGTAATTTATTGTTACAGCAGGTATTTAAGAAGTACACGTATCGGATTGTTTAAGAACTTCGCTCGGATATATCACGCCATTTTGTATTTGTGGGGGAACATAATGAACGACAGAAGTAACTGTGATAAGCCATGGTACTGTTTTATAAGCTCTTTTTGCGATATTGAAACGCATTCTTTATGAATTACACCGGTTTTCCATGTCTAAGATGTCCTCAACATTTGTTCAAATTATAGCGTGAAACGTAGAAATATTCGATAATTTGTTATTCTACAATATTTTAAATTAAAAGCGTTATTTACAATTTTACAAGTATTAGGGTTCTTCAATTTTAAACAATATTGCAACACGTTCAAAGTGCCGGTCACCGGTGACCACCATGACAGTCAACGTGTGAAGTTTAAATAAAATTTCGAAGTGAAATAAAATTGAATAAAACACAAGTGAATGTTATTATTACTAAATTTATATTATAATATATAATCATCCGGAATTTTTCAAGGATGTTTTCTACGGAGTAAAATTCGGAGAAAATGGAGATTCGATCAAATGAAAATCGACAAAAACAAATCTAGAGGGCGACAGATCGTGGAATAATCCTGTTCTGTAACCTTCTTCCAGCTGCCAAGTAATTTCTTTGCTTCTGACACACTGGAGCACATGATTCTTATATCAATAACCATTTACATTCTTCAGCGATGATTCATTAAGTGAAATTTGTCAGATTCAAAAACCAGTGCAAACAAACCTAACGAGAGACAGACTATTTCATTATCCTTCCCTAGAACCATTTATTAGCTTCTGGATAATTGTTGTATTTTCGGAATTTTATAACACGCGATTCTTTATTTATAACTCTATTTAACTTTACTGATAATTGTACAAATTCCTCAACGATGCTTCGTTAAATAAGTGAAATTCTGAGCAATTAGAAATTTACCAGAGCACAATAAGTACAATTAGAGCCACTGCTCCATTAATTTTTAATTTTAATTCATAATTAAGGAGAAAAAATAATTCTAAAATAATATTGAGAATAAAATTCAGTAAAACGCGATAAAATATTATTATTACTAAACAATATTATTTTCTTGGTCGCTCGACATATTGAAGAGAATCTAAATCTTTATGTTTAATAAATAGCACTGTTTATGAGAGAGCTATTTTCTTCATTTTGTTTTCGAGTTGCAAAAAAATTACAGAATTTAATAATAATTAGTACAAGTCTTAAAAACCTTCCTTCGACAATTTGCTTGACCATTTACATTGCTTCGGGTCCATTTCTCTATTCATCGAAGACCGTATATTGTTGGAATTAATATTACGGAGCAATTAACTGTTCGAGTACTAGGAACGGGTGGTAAAATGAATTCGAAGTGCCACGGGACGCGTTCAGCAAATCGTCGCTGCGTGTTCGTTAAATTCAGCGATGTTTTCACCGTCGAGCAGCTAATGAATCGTCGGCCATATTCGTTATTAGTTTAATCAGGGTTATTATTACCATTTTCACCGCCTAACGAGGTCCCAGTGGCCGCGAAAGATTAGTCGTCGTCGTACTCCTTAATGAACGCCTGTGTTTTAAAATTACGATGGACACGAAGTGTACGACCCGTCCCGTTTAAACCGGTTTTTTTTCGTGTCCATTAGTAACTATGACGAACAAAATGATGATAGCGAAAATGTACATTGGCGAAACGGGCCTTGGTTTCGCGCAAACCGCAGATAAATCTCGAACAACAAAGTAGTATGAATCAGAAACGGCCCGTGGACCGTGTTACACGTAAAAGGAATTCCGGCGATAAAATAAACCATGAAAAAAAAAAGTCAACAATGTTTTCTGCGGAGGCGATGAGTTGTCAGCGTTGCAAAAACAAAAGGTGTCATGACGTTCGCGGCGAGGAGGAAAATAAAAAGTCGGAGCAACGGAATCATTGTACCGATCTGACCAAAAATGGCGACAGGCTCGTCGAGGCTGTTTATTGCCTGCATCCACCACTCCCTCGTTAATTGTCATAAAATTACATGCTTCTACTGTCAATCAAACCTGTCACTATTAAGTGCTTTCTGCTTATTTTAGAATCCCAAGGTTTTTTATTCATTCATTAACGGGGAAAAAACACTTTAATGCAGAAAGATGTAATATGTGAGGAACAACAAAATAAAAATTATACAAGGAAAATTTTGTAAAGCGATTAATGAATAGTTTTAGTAAAAGAAATCAGAAGTCCTTTGTTTAGGAATAAATGAAATTTAGGTTCGGGTCAAAATGGACCCAGACTCCACTTCGAAGGTTAACAAATTGCAGAAAGTGGTATTGTATAATTCTCATAGAAACATATAATTTTCAGTTTTTATTTTTTGGTATAGTTTGTATTTTTTTAAAAAAAAAGAACATATTTGAAAACACTTTGAGTCTCAATACCACCCCTGATATAATTACCTATAAATAGTAGTACCACGAGCGATCTGAACTTAAAAGGCTCTTATTTACATAAGTTTCATTCCATTAAGAGCATAAATCATAGTTGTTATCGCGATGATCGAAACACTGGTATTCGTTAGTATGAAAATACTGCAATACTGAGAACGATCGATCGTTAGAAAAAAAAGTTAGTCGGACACTACCCCGTTTGACAAGCAAACGAGACGTTGTTTTATTAACACGATTCAAATGTCGCTCGTAAATTGCGTCGTTTAATTGTGGCGAACGAACGACGACGATTTTTTTCTTTCCGCGGATGAGCAGAAACCCGTCCGCGATGTCCAAGGTCTATCTAGGAAGTTCCATATTGCGTGGAACGCATTCCTGTGGTTAAATGTTGCGAGTAACGCGTATTCTTAGACCGGTCAGATAGCACATTAGAACAGATTCGAGCGTGTGTAGATTCCCGCCGCTTTTAAGTGTTGCAGGAAGCAGCCACGGTCCCAGCTTTCATCCTTGATCCAAATTCAACGACCAAATCGCGTTCTCGTGTCTTTCTTTTCAGGCTTTCAGGCTCCGT